GAGAGAAAGAGAGAGAGATACAGTTCCGCGCCGTTGTCAGGTCGTGTGTCAGCGTCGTGAGCGCGCTGTAAGATGCAATTAGGGTTGCGAACCGCGTGTGTCCCGCTCGACCGAACGGGGAGGAAACCGGGTGGAGGAAAACGTCGGAGGAAAATGTTACGGAGACACATATCCCCATAGGGACCTGTGATTTGCATTCGTTTCTGGAGCCCAGGTTTTTCAGGCGGCGATTCGGCACGCACGACCGATCCGCGCGCGTACGCAAAACCGTAATTTCCATCAGCGTGTGTGTTAATAAAACGCGCTCCGCCGTTCCGACAGGATAATAATCCGGAATCTGTTCGCCCGTCGATACATACGCCGGCGATCTATTAAGATCGCCACTAAGAAATGCGTGACAACGCCGCGAACAGCATTTCCGAGAGATTCATACACCGGATAATGCGTATTGAGCGAGATACGAAGCGCCGAGAGAGAGGAACGATGTAGACTTAAATCACATTTATAACCGGTATTTCTCTCTTATGGACAGTTGAAATAAGTGCGGTTGCGCGCTCATTTCAGAACACGGTATTACAACTGATAAATTATAGATTTAATAAGACGATACATCAACTAAAATTTGTCTGCGAAATAATTAAAAACGGCGATTGTCAATTTCAGAGTTGAATAAAAAAAATTTTAGAAATAAATGAAGCACTAACTGATCATTAAAAATTATTAATTGTTTCATGAGATAGCTATTTTTTATCAATTGAAAAATTAAAGGAAACATTGATATCAAATTAATGCAACGAATCTATATCGAGATGTGTTTTCCCGGAATGTCTTTTTCTAAATAATATAAGCAATTGTTTAACATATAATTCGAGTTCTTTTCTAAATTTTACATCTTAATATTTTGTAAAAAAAGAAGACTAATTAAATATAATTACGCCTTTGACACGTTTCTACCATTCGAACTTTCGCTGTCGTGACATTATCTGATTTTTCGACCTCGAGGTTCACCTCGTTAAGAAACGTCGTATCGTGACATAGTTGAGAAATTATTGATACTTAGACCTTGCAATGTACAGCAATCTCTTGCCTTGCGTGACTCTGCGACATCCCGTTTGCGAGATGGTAGCGCGTCAAAAACAACTTAACAAGTGACAATCAAGGTTTCGATAGTTTTATGATCCAATTGATAAAAAACCACGTGAACGATAGTAAACGATTACACTCTAAATATTGTACGAAGATATCGTAATCGAAAATATTCCCGTCCGACATGATTTTAAGGATACTCACGGTATTATTAATAGCAATACTAACACGATTTGAGAATTTGTGTGGTTTGCCAGACGACCGTCTTTCTCAGGGGATCTTCCAGAAATAAGAGTAATCTATTTGAGTTAAAATAACTAGGAGAGAGCCAAACGCGTTCGTTGCAAATTGAATCTTCATACATATAAATTAACAAGGCAGGTATCATCGAGGTGAAAAGGAGGATCCGACGGAGGGGTGGGCGATGTACGATGTATACTTATTGAGAGTAAATTACAGACGACTGCTTATGAATTTGGATCGGGGCTCGGGCGATAAGCAACACGCAACGATCCGCCGGATCGCGTCGTGGAAAATAAATCGAGACACGCAACTCACGCGCGGCGTTTGCATAATGTGGATGCGTTAGTCCGCGAACTATCTGCGAGAGCAGAATTAATCCTCCGTGGCGCAGACTTTTCGCACGGAGAAACGACGCAGAAGCAGCCGTCCTATAAAAGAAACGCGGCGATCGCAACTGCGCTGACTATGCCAGTTCGACATCAACGATC